AGTTTTTTAATCCCTTTGGTGCCAACTGAGTGCTCATTGTATGCCATCAAACAAGGGAGCCCGAAAGTAGACCCAATCCAACAAGTATAATCATACAAGAATTATCATCTACGATGAATATATTTTCTTTTGAGACGTTGAATTGCACAATGAGAGATGTAATGAGTATATCTAATAATAACTTCATAAATTAACCATTCGGAGGAAAAACAATTGTACTCAAAGGTGATTTTATTCAAATTCTTTCAGTTTTACTCATAGCTTTGAGAGTGGAAATTGTAGGTGCTACCACCAATTTCTCACAAATGTGGTTGTATTGTAAAATTTATACGTTGACCAAAAATATGAAATTGCATTAATCTACACTCTCTTGCACAGATAGTGACACCGAAGTTTTTTCTGATTGGATAATCAAAGTCGAAGATGGAAAATTTAGATAAGTGATCAATGGAATTGCTCACGTTGAAATCCTGCCTGAATTCTTGATTCTTGAAATAAGTTATCTCCTCAAGAGAACAATGGAATTCACTTATCTGAACCTACTAGAGAACATGAAAAATTATTTTTTAAAGGATAGTGGAGTATTATCATTCATGCTCGAGTTTGTTGAATGATAAATGAATTTGTCCTATCCCTTATTCTAGGAGGTGAAAAAGAGTACTTAATTTTTTATTCTTCATGCAAATTTAACAATTGGATAACACTTTAGTTTTTTTAAGAAAATCAAATGTTCTAGGATCCTAAACCACAAAATAATTTTTAAAAATAAGGTACCCATTATGTCATTAAAGAACATTGACCAAATATCTGGATTGTGTAATGGTAGAAGATTAATCGTTGAGGAGTTGAGAAAGAACATTATCACTGTAATTGACGTTTTGGGAAATCAGTTGGGAAAAAGATTTATATACCCCGAATGAATTTGGTATCATTTGATTCAGGACTACCCTTGAAATTCTAGAGAAGACAATTCTTAATATTATTATATTTTGTTATGACTGTTAACAAAAGTCTAGGTCAAACATTGTCTTTTGTTGTACTCCGTATTATTTTTAACCAATTCAGTATTTACTCATGGTTAGCTTTATGTTACTTTTTCACGAGTGAAGGCAAAGACATAATTAAAAATATTGGTTCTAGATGATAATGAAAATCCTTACAACCATACCAAAGATGTTGTGTACCCTAAAGTCTTTCAAAAAAAATTAGAATTAAAAAAGATTTTTTCGAGTACACTTCCAGTTCCTCAAATACTATTTATTCTACTTTGTCGTTGTTCATTGATTAAAAATCGTGTTAGAAATATATTTTATTTGATTCCGGAAAATATATTACATTGAAAAAAAATTGGAATCAACAAAAATTTTGTTTGACCCCGTGCGTCGCACGGGTAAAAATACTACTCCGTAGTTATTATTATATAGAAGAGTACTAGGAGGTATTACACAATATGCTCTAAAGAGATAAAATTAAGATTCATTCATTTGAGGGTTACAAAGGTATTTATAAGGAAATGAGGGGACAGAGCATCGCGCGTCCGCATCAGTCTATGTTCTCAGACGGCGCGAGGTGACTTACTCTTGTCCAATAGCATTTTGTCCTATTCCCTTGTCATCATCTTGTGCTGATGAAACCTCCTTTGGCGCGTAGTGCCCAGTTGAGGATGTTAGAATATTCTCACAATCTTTCGTTGAAATCGGTCACTACAGTTCAACTGACTTTGGAGCTATTTGTGCCAAAACTTTAACACCATAGCAACCTACCCAGTGGGTTAGCCGATCGTGCATTCTAGAGGGACAGAAGACTGTCAGCACGAAGTCATGTACTCTGACCGGTAAGTTTATTCATCACACCGGTCGATTTTTTCGAATCCAACTGGTCGTCTATTTTTCATTTAAATCTTCCATTCTGATATATTTCACTCTGGCCGGTCAACTACAGTGGATCCGGATTCGGACCGGGTTCTAGGTGAAATACACCCATCAAAATGTGAGAGGGTCTATATTTTACATGTAACACCCTAATCCGTTCAGGTCTGCAGCCCCTTTCGGACTAGAATGTTAACTTGGTAATCGTAAAAATTTAAAAATTTCAAATACATTTATTTATCACAATAATAATTTTTCATAACATAAACAGTACATAGTTTTCAATATTGCGGAATTTAACAAATCACAATCATAAACAAAATTTATTTATATTTTTAAATTTTAATCCATCACATCTATTCCGACTATCTTGCCTCCGTCTGACTCTAGGATCACGTCACATCATTCTAATAACTTGTGTGTAGCAAATAAAACTAACTACACGCTCAGCGTTTAAACTGAGTAAGCATATCTAATGCTTCAAACATCCATATAAATTGAAACTCAATTCATAATCAATTCATTTGATATCATGCACATAATGTTCAGTTCAGATATTCAATATTCAATTTTCAACATTCACTATTCAATCATTCATCATGTATATTTATCATTCATATTCAACTTTTTTATTCATCATTCATCATACAATATTCATCATTTGTCATTCAACAATATCCTTAAATCATTCTTAGTCTAAGGCCAATCTCTTTCATATTTATCAATACTTAAACGAATTCTAGTTTAAGATATTTCTAACCAATTCTTAAACTATATTCTAGTCTAAGGTACTTTTATCCAATTTTTAATCTAGGCCTAGTTTAAGATAAACTTACCTTCGCTTAAGGTCAACCAGAAACCGAACAATGGAGTACTCACTGTCGGGTTGGGTGGTATCACCAAACGAGTTCCGATCCTCTAGTTTGGTTTATAGATCCCGTACGTACGTTTTAACCCAAGCCATCGAATATTCATAATTATACCCTCAAGGCCTATTTCTAAGCTATCTTAGAGGTCTTCTAGATAGTCTTAGAAATTGACGTCAACCTAGGTATATCTTAGAGTTCTTCTAAATATCTTTAAATTCTAAATCATTTCATAATCATCAATGTATTCATTTCAATTCATAGTTTAATCATCAATAATTATTTTAATCAATGGATTCATTAAATCATAATCATCATAATAATCATGCATCATAATCATCAATTAACATAACATCCAATAACAAATAACGACCTAATTTCGAGTGTTAACACCCTAACTTACCGTCATACATCACGTAAGATTTTATTTGTCAAAAACATCGTTTTTATGTATAGAAATCATATTCATATTGATTATATTTGATTGGTATCAAAAATAGGATTTAATAGTTCAAAAATCAGATTTCGGAAAAAATATTAAGTTCTGGATGGTACCCGGTACGGTACCTCGGTATCGTGTCACGGTACCTTGGTACCGACCGCCACCAGGTACCGTGAGAAAAACACAGTTGAATGATATGGAGGGTACCGTTTGGACGGTATAGCCTACTGTGTCGGCGGTACCTAGGTACCGTCCAAGCGGTAGGGTAGTAACGTACTGTGTGTAACTTTGAACAGTGTCATCTTCAACCTCGGGCCAAGTTTCGGAAATTCTTTTTTAGTCACCAAACTTCAATTAAACTATATAAAATTGTTCTCCAATGTTCATAGATCATTTTGGTAACATTAGTTCATAGTTTTAACATCAAATTCAAGGTTTATGATTCTTAGTTCTTCGAACATGTCAAACACAAAACTCAACCAAACAACCGTTTATGAACATAGAAACGATCTATACAAACATTCTAGTCACTAGATATATCTACGGGCTTACCTCGGAGCTAAACGATGATTCTGGCGTTTGAACGGCAAAACTCTCGGTGACAATAACTCCTTGCTCCGGCGACTTCGATGGCAACAAACAACAACAGACTACTCTCCTCACTCTCAAGATTGTTATGGACTAATTTTCAAAAAGAATGGTGTAGAGATGGAGAAAAATGAATTCTCATTATATAGAATGAAAGAGGAAGAAGCTGCCAAGGATTTCAAGATCGCGGATGATGGTGTAAATTACCACGCAAATATTAAGTGTGAATAATCGGAAGGGTTGTAGGTGGAATCACCTGTAACCCGATTTGTTATTAATGATAATTGGAGTTATTACAAATACAAGCCGTGTAGGTTAATTTAAAACATGCCTCACAAATGAGGCTTTTAAGGGTATTTATAATAATCCTAAGCACGTCAAGCACGTCTCTGATTATTCAACCGGTCAAATAACCCGGGCTGAAAAAGACGCGTGCTGTTCGGTGAACCAACCGGGTGGTATCCTTGGGTTATTACCCATCAAGGAGTCCTCCGATTCCCGGTCCTGTGGGAACCATCAGGGGCGGGAAGCACATGCGATCATTTCCTGGAATTTGAACAGCCCAGTCGCTTTTCGGCGGGGAAATCGTCTCGGAAAACCAGCGCCAACCCAAAATATCTGAATTTTGAATTTTGAATTTTGAATTTTCAAAAAACGGTGGTCCAAAGCGGGAGAATCTTCTCGAAGTCGGGTACAGAGCCGCCGATTTAACGTGCCGTTTCGTCTCCCCGAGAGGTTATGATTGCAAATCATTTCAGCCGCCACGTGTCATTTCTTCATTCGCCCGTCTGGGCGGCATCTCTCCTATATAAAGCGTCGTTCTCCTTGGAATTTCCTCACTTGCAAATCTTCAATTCAAAA